GCATACACAAAAGGGCAAATGCAAATATTCTTATTAGCATTTGATATTTCATTTTGTTAACTCAACTTCTCTATTGCAGAAAAACAATGCCCGAAAGGTTATGGAATATATTCCATTAGAAGACTGTATTAATTAACATATGGTTATTTGAATGCTGGATGGTTGGGCTTTCACTATAACATAAAAAACCAAAATTTTACTTAACAACAACCACAAGAGTAGAATTATTTTTGTTTATATGCAGTATGATTTACAAGTATGTTTCTGCATGGGGATTTCTTTTCACTCAATGATTACAATAATGAGACTCTTCCATTCTCATGCTGCATGGTTCCTAAATATGTTTTTACATGGGGTTTTCTTTTCCCAGAATTCAACTTCTGAATGTGAACTTCATAAAAGTAAAAACCACAAAATTTTTTAAAAGGACAAATAAAGGGAAAAAAAAAAAAAATTTACAGCAAACACTTATCTGAATATTTTTGGAAAATTATGCAAAGATAATTGCTTATCATAAGGAATATAACTCAGATAACTAAAATTAATACTAAAGTTTTTACAGAGATTTTTTTGCTCCAAAGTAATTCTGCTTCATTTCATTCATTACCTTACTTAAATTTCACAATCAAGATATTCAAAAATAATCAAAATGAGGAAAAATATTTTAAAACAGTATTGAAGGTAATAAAAATGTTTCATTTTAACTTCATTTTTCTAAAAACAAATAATTTCATCATTAAAACATTGTGATATATGTTAAAAAATATTCGTAAATTTCATAAACCACCGAATCAAAATTTATTTACACAAATTGATCAGTTACATCTCCCCTCCTCCTCAAAAGCTTGTTTTTATTTTTATTAAAAAGGATGAATTCAAACAGTAAGCCAAATGTTTGCCAAGAACACACACTTAATGGAAATTTTCTTGTTATCCATTCCTAACTGCAGCTGACAGATTGTTACCAATGTGAACTTTCAGAAGTGTATAAACTGAATAACTAGCAATAAATAAATAAATAAAATAAAATAAATAAAAAAAAAATAGTACATGTGAACCATTGACCCAGATCCATTTTACAAACTTTTCCTTTTACGACATGATCTAATACTATGCTTTCAATTTCAGTGCTGTGATAGTAGTAAAATAAAATTTCCTTTTGTAGTTTTCTGAACAAGGCGTGGATGATACACACACACACATATAAGGTCAGATCATTTCCCTCATTATTGCAGACTTGGAGCTTTACTGGCATGTACCATAATACCTTTTTAACATTTCTAATCCATACACTCAGAATATTAAAGATAAAAAGAAACAACTTTAAATCACAAGCCCTGTAATGACACATTCTGTTAACTTCGACGCATTAAGTATCCCACAATAGTGAGAAATATTCGTCTGATTGATGATAATATCCTATTTTGAAAAGAATCATAATTTTATAGAAATAGAGAAGTGGAAAATAATTACAAGGCTACAAATTAATAAAATATCATTTAACTTCATAAACAATAATTTAAATAGCTATTTACTTATTTTAGCTATTTCAAAGTACTTGAATATAAATGACTGCAAACTGCACTAGACTTGCAAAGTATGTTTTTACAAATTTTGTCAGTCAGTATATATATATCACAGCGACTTAAAATAAATGTTTGGGGCAAGTAGAAAAATATCTATATGATCCCTCCACAACAGCTTTTAACTTTTGGCATGCTTAAATTTATCACCTGCAAAAACACTATTCTCCCCTAATGTCAATATATTTAATAGCTATAAAAGGCAAAATGGCAGGAGGAAGAGATCACGACACAGTACCAACTTTTAATATGGGAATCAAACTTATCCATGGTGAAGAAATTATATGACACATTATCATAATTGTTTAAGAAACATTTGCTGTGGGAATATAATTTAATATAGTTTAGTTAAAACATCAGGCAATTTTTTTCATGATATGCTCCATTCCACACATTTTCATTCATGTTTTTGGAAATTTTCTAATCGAGCATACAGTCTTTGAAAAACATACTATATGGTGCAAGGAATTGTGGTTTATCATCATGAACACTAAATTTCAATTCATACCTTACATAGCATGAAGCAGCATCCTGCTCCAATCATACTCTTATTAAGGCCTACAAATTCTTACAAACCCCTATCTTAAAAGCTGGTACCAAAATTCCTGATTGTTCCTTACAGATTATCAAACATAGGCATTCTCAACTGGGAAGGAGGGATTTCATAGTTTCAGGGGGAGATTTGGTCAGCCTTTTACTTGCTTGTTAATAATTTAGTTTTAATTTATGAACGTAAAAAAGTTCTTTCAAGTTTTGGTATTTATCAACATTTTCTGCACGTTTCCTTGTTTAATCTTTAAAACACGTTAAAATATAAATCTAAAACACATGCATACATATTTTTTGAGTTTTGAAAAGGAGGGGGCACGATTGTCTAGCAATGATAACACAGGTGCACATGGGGAGAAAAAAGGTTCAGAACCACTTGTCTTAACTGATAAGCATACATCTCAAAATACTTAAAAAGAAAGTTTCTAACAAAAGTATAATTATGGCTTTATTTGCATATCATTACTTAATGCAATATTTAAAACAATCTATCTTACAATTTTACTGACTATATAAATTGTACTGTAACCAAAGTAAACTGGCAGGTTCCATATGGAAACATAATAATAATAATAATTCAGTGTTTTACCCAAAAAGTACATTATTAGTTTAAGAAGTGTTCTTAATGATTAAAATTCTTAATGCTAGCCACCGCCTGCTCACTAAGGATGGCCAAACTGCTCATAAACTGAGTCATTTTAATGATTGAGTGAATGACTATTCAACAAAGTGGTAGCTCCTTTAGAATTCACTGACTGAGAAAGAAGTGTGCCCAAGTTCAGTATCTATTTTAAAGAAGAAGAAAAGAATGTTTCTCCTGCAAAGTTAAAAGTCAATTTAATTTTTTTTTTATTTTTCAACTTTTTGAGCACTTTTTTTTTAAAAAATTTATCATTAGTTCTAAGTAGAGAGGTTTTCGTGAATTTCAAAACTAAAGTTAAAATCAGTCTAAGGAGTTAAAAGTTCAACTGAATTGAATCTCCCAATCCCAATCCTCATTTCTGTCCACTTCTACCACATAACACTCTCTCGAATAATTTTTGAGAAAAGCATAACTGTCACGTGAAATATTTACATTGCACCAGTATTATACCAAGCAAAAATTTCAGCCATTCATATATGTATATGTATTATTTAAACATGAAGTAATAAAACTAACGTGACAGAAACATGTTTCTCAAAAGACTGGTAACAAAAATTTTTTGAAGCAAATTAACACAATTAAAATTAACCACCAAATTATCAGATATGTACACTGCTGTCTATTCAAATTGTAACACCATGACGGAAAGCAAATACAAAAAATATATTTACTGCATGTAAACATTATAGCATGAAGGCAAAATGATTAAATTTGTAAGCAATTTGCAGGTTTACTGCGGTGTAAAATTAGCAGAAACAGCTGCCACCCCTGGCAGCTAATGGCCCTTATCCCATTAGGCATGGAGTCAAACTGGGCTTGGATGACAGAATGGGCAACTCATTCCATGCTGCTCTAAGTCTATGCCACACTTCAACAACCGTATTAGCAGGAGAGAGGTGGCAGGCAAGTCTCTCAACAACACATGACCAGATGTTTTCAATGGGTGACAGTTCTGGAGACCACGCTTGCCAGGACAGCAATCGAATACCCTGTATATCGAGGAAGATCAGAACATAATGTGCAATATGGGGTCTTGCACTATCTTTTTAGAAGATGGTGTTTAGAGACCCCAAAGATACACAGAAAATGTCAGAAATGTACCCATCTGCTTTCAAATTAGCGTTGATCGGAACTAGAGATGTGCATGTCATGTACTCAATGGCTGCCCAAAACATCACATCGGGTTCAGAACCCTTATGCTGATATTGAATGCAAGCAGGCAACGTGTAGTCTCCTCAGACATTCTAGACACGTATACGGCCATCCGAATACTGCACATAGAACTGGGACTCGTTTGAAAAGGCGACATTGTCACTCCTGTACTCAGCTTTGTCACTTGGCACACCAAAGTTGCTGTTTCTCTCTATGCTGCATTGTCAAGGGAAGCCGGTCACCCTGCTAATAGTTCATGCTGCGAACATGCCCATTATGTTGTCAAACGGTTTTGCAGGGCTAACCTCACAATATGTCTGTTGTCTCTAGCGTTAGTCATGGGAAGGCATTGGGATCCTGCATGCCATTCAATATGTCGCATGACAGTGGCTGGATCTCGACCAGTGCGACCAGCGATATCACAGAACGATAATCTACACTTTCAATAGGCAATAATCCTGCTTCTATCAAATTTCAAAACTTGCTGCTAGGCATTTCCTCTTCTGCTCAAATAAGGAGGAAACTTGCTCCTTATTCGAGGCATAACGCGATAGTCTGAGCAAACTCCAACATTACAAAGCACTCTCCACATGAGAAATCCACTACACAATTTTGCAGTGATTCATATGTTATTTCTCCGTCTTGCATCGTCTAAATGCACTGAAATATTAATCATTTGCATATCCTTGCATAACTTTTTCTTTTTATGTGAGTTTGATGTTCATCAGATCATTCCTTCCTGGTGTTGCAATTTTAATGCAGCAGTAATTTTAAGCAGTGTAACTACAAATATTTTCATTTTCATCCGTAAATAGCTTATCTTGTACCCTCAGCTGACAATAAAAAATAAAAAGACACTCAACAGAATTAAAGCCATGAAAGCTCTTACCATATATATTTAAATTTAAAAAAGTAAAATCTCAGGCTTTCTGATTCATGTAATTATTCGCATTTTACAGGACAATCAGTTACGCAAAAAAAATTTTATTTTTCCTTTTCTTTTCTTAAAAAGCATAATATATTTTAATTCAGTGTTAATTAGGGAATGATGTAGAAAAATAATATATTTTAACCTGAGGCAATTTTTTGTCTTCATCAGATAACACGTCCATTGCATTTCTAAATACTTCTTCTACTAATGGTTTTTCTTCAGCTGTCAAGAAACAAATTCAAAATAGACATAGGGAAAAGTCTGAAAAATACTGCACAACTGGGATAGGAAAAGCTTAAAAAATTTAAAACTCACCACTGTTGAAGTCTAGTTTGGCCATTTGCATGGCATATGCCTCGCATTCCTTTTTACTAAAACTGAACACGATTACAGGGGCAAAATTCCTTTCCATTATCATTTTTACAATTTTATAGCAATTTGAACCATCTGAGGAAAAATATTAAAAATTAACTCAAGAAGCTTTAGATATGTACAATCTAGCCTACCACTTCTATCTTGAAATGCATAAATTACAAGATAAAAAAGGTACACTAGATTCATTTAATTAGCTGAAATATGCAGAAACTTGAATATAACATAATGACAATCAATACCTTTAAATCCCCCTTTCCGGCCTTTCATTCCTGAGTCTCCTTTAGCTGCACCACCAGCAACTTGTAAAACATTCATAGCTGTATTAAAATTTTCTTCACGAAAATTACCCTATGTACAACAAAAATTTGAAATTATGTATTCAAAAAGCATTTAAACTTAGTGTAAAAATTATGCTTCAAATAAATATTGAAACTGTAAGAGAAAACCATTTAAATTATTACATTTTAAATGCACTTAAAAAGAGATAAAAATTATAGGATTAGTTTAATTCTATTTGAAGCTGCTGCTGGATGTGCACTTCTTGTGCTTGTATGCACAATTAATTTTTTTACTAAACAAATGAGGTTTCGACACTACTTGACAAATGCTAAGGAACAGAGTCATTTTTTGTCTAAATTAATGATAACATCGTCCAAAGAAATTAGACCTGGCATGTATTTAATAGGGATCCTAAAAGAATTGTTATTATGCAAAATGGCCCAAATATGACTACATGGTAAAATAAGATAAACAAAAGATTTTTAAAAAAAATGCTCCTCATACCTCTTGTCACGCTGTTTACTGAACAGAGCAAATTCTGCTCATTTTCTCAGTGATTTTGAGTTTTTGCATAGTTTGAGAAGGATCTGTTTTCAAGAAATGTGTCTATCCAATGCATATCAGACATGCTTTGATAAGATTCAAGTCAAGTAAATATGTAGACCATGTCAGATGCTCATTATCTAACTCTGCAAATGTATCGGATACCTTAGCTATCCTAATGTGAGTGAGCACTTTCATTCATGAAGTCTATGCCAGTACTAAATAATAAAGATAAAATAAGATTTTTTAAAAAATCTTTCTGAGATAATTTTGTGAACAGTGTGTTATTGATGCTACGTTCTTTAGCTATCATTCGAAGATATGATCATTTTTAAGCGATAATTATCAAACCATTTTGATGTTCGTATCATCTTAGGACTGTTTGGGACTAAGGCACTCTTAGATTCATAGCCAATGCCTTCACTTACAACATAAAATTGTCTTTACCAACGAAAAGCCCTTGATCATGATTTACACATATTAAGTATCTTCACTACTGTTTTTCCTGCTTTGCTGCAAAACTTCATGCTTTTCTTTCCTCAGCTTTCAAGTTCATAACAGCAGATGTTCAATGGATCAATACAAACACATAACTGCATAAAAATTCAGTCTATAACCAGACATTATTTTGGGAAAAGCAAGATTAGATATTATAATAATAAATGTTTTCAATTATTGTTTCCCAGGAAAATTTTTTTTAAAAAAAATTCTAAAACTTCGTAGATATATGTAGTGTATATGTTTTTCACTTTCATTTACACATTTAATCTACTATTCCACTTGCTGTGGATAAATCATTCTTAAAATAAATATTTCATTTTCTGCTTACTAGCCTATGAGGTCCACACAGATAAGAACATTAAATGTGGTATTTAACAGGCCATTTTCATAAGCATTTTCATGTTTTTCTCATCTGAAATGTGAATATAAGTTACTTTCCTTTGGACAGTCCTCTCAGAAAATGAAGATTCCTTAGGCCTAATGCGCTTTACCACAATCTAATGAATTTAATCCAGTCTGCTTATTTAACAAACTTACATATAAATCACTTTTTACTTATTGCAGCTTAAGTAATGCTTAAAGTAAAATTTAAAATGTGTGTCAAAAACTTTTTAATTCATTTCTCTTTAATAATTTTCTATACACACTAAACCAATCAGATTTGAAGGAAACCTTTAAAATTAAGATATGTGAGCAGTTATTAAAACATGATTGCCTGAGCATCCTCAAAATTTCAACTTAAATGCTAATTTGATCTGTTGGACTATTTATTAAATTTGATTTATAGGAGTTTGCTACAAATTGACTGAATATACTTAAACTTTTTTTTTAAGCTTCTTGTAACGATATTCATGATTTTTTTAATTAGTAGGTACTTTAAAAAAATAATTTTTTGATAATTAATAAACAGCAAGATATACATTCAGTCCCCCCCCCAAGTGCACAAAACTATTATTTTTCAAAGTTTCTAATGAAGTGGAAATATAAATGCTATAAAACGAAAATTTTAATTATTGTAAAAATAAAATACATTGCCAAGTAATACAATTAATTAGACATAATACATACGTAAAATGTTAATAATAAAATACCCATTTAAGAAATTATACTAATATTCATAAAAAGTTTTAAATGACAAATTCATATGAACAATCTTATTATTTTAGGAACAAATGAATTATTTCCAACTTACATTTTCATCCACAACTAAATGTAAGCCATCACCACCAGCAGGGAAAATGTACTGTTGCAAAGGCACTGGTCTATAATCAGTATATACTACATGGCAAGGCTGCAAAGACATACATAATTATAAACTATGAAAAACCACAAGTTTATGAGATACTAAAATTTTTCTTCTATGAAAAGCAAAAGCAATACATTATATTTTTACATACCACTGCATTAAAATTAATGAATATGCATATAGGTTATTACAGAGTGTTTCACGAGGCTGCTTTCTAAAACATCCAACTATATTTTTATCCCACTATAAATAGGAAAATGTTTTATTATCAAGCAACACTGAAGCTTCTGAAATTCACAATAATCACATCCATGACTGACTGATAACACCAGATAGCTATATTTGTTCAGCATGTCTCTGACTGATTTATTAAGTATTGCTCAGTAGTATATAACGTTGGAAAAACTGGTGTTTCTTTTGAGTTGCTATTGGGTAATACACATTTTATAAAGGGTGCATAGTGTGAATTTCTGGGAAATATTAGAGAAGGGAAGAGAAACATTAGGTAAATGTTATATTTCAAGGTTAATAAAAAAAAAAATTCCAGAACACATGCAATAGTTAAAGCTTTAGGTTTATTTGGGGGGGGGGTAAAATAAATTGTAAGGGAAAAAAGGTGAAATTAAATACAAATCATTAGAGAAATACTTAGAGGGGGAACTGTCCTTAGAAAACTAACATTAGCAAAGCAATTTGGAGTTCTGATGGAAGCACACTGCAAAAGACTGATAACTTGAAATGTTGTATACGAGTGTGTTAGATATGAGTATAGGAGATATTTCTAACACTTTCTGTGAATGGTAATACATTTCCATGAATTATGCAAAACTACATATGTTTCTATACAAAATATGGGGAAAATTATGATAAATTTCCTGATGGAGTTACCTACTGGAACATCATATGTTTAAAAAATTAACAGAATTGAATAAAAGGCACAGTAATAACAACTTACAGTTATGTAAAAACTTATTTTAATTAAAAGTTAATAAAAGTGTAATTTATAGAAATATTTTTGAAAAAACATAACATTAAAAATTATGCATGTGTGTAATCAACACTGAATCTCAAAAATTCCAAACAGCAAAATAAATTGATGTTTATGTGAATTAACAATTACTACCTACTTACAAGTATAGGTCAGTAATTATAAGGTGACAACTGTTCATTGATCTGAACCAGCAGATTAAAATGCTAAAACATTAACATTTTTAAAAGATCTTTTTCTATTTTTCATTTTGATCTTTTTTATATTAAAAAAGGTGGGAAGAGAATTAAAGTAGTGCAGGAACTAATTAAAAGAAAAATTACAAAGAGTACGAAAAATTTACTTAATTATAAGATGACAAAATTGGCTTTCATAACTTAAAAAGCATAAGAAAATTAAAAAGTGCCATATTTAAAGGTGCTTTCTCTGAAATGGAAACCATTTAATATAGTATACTTAAGATTATACTGAATGTTTGCCCACTATAATAAAAATAGCAAACAAGATGAAGAAAACCTCGTTCTTCCATTTTTTTAATTTATATAAATGTAATGTTAAAAAAATTTCAACTAATTTAAATATATTTGTATGAGCTGAAGTACACAATACTGCCTGGGCTTTATGCAGAGTGAAGAGGCTTCATTTGGGAGAAAGTTGGGAGCTTTTTCGAAAAGCAGACAATGATTTCTCTCTTATTTTGGTTCCAGGAGAATTATGCAAAAAAAGTTTGAATAAAATTGCAGATATTTTTTAGACAGAAAACAAACATTATTTTAATTGCATCACTTTAGAGTACACAATGTTTTTTGTTAGTCCATTCGAAGCACAACCAAACAAACTATCTGGCATGCCAATTCTCGAGCAAGCCAGTTACTAGTTATCCAAAAAACATGGCATTTTAAAATTAATACCACTTTATACAAAGTAACTGACCAGATGTTTTGTTGACACTCATAGCAAATGTAAGCCTGATGGAAAATTGCAATCATTTGAAATCATACAGCATATTTGATTCAATAAATATCAACAGAATGGGAGGTATGTCTTTATCTGTGGCATTCCTATAACTGCATTCATCATTAGATCCTTTATGGTGAGCCTTGTTCCACTGCACAGCTTTCAGGCTCATTGTGAAGTAATAATATGACACAGGATTCTTTCATTAAAGTAAGCATGCGTGGTAGTATTCTCCAGGGCTCAAGAGTATTTAAAAATTCTGTCAGGCAATGCACAGCTTGCTCTGCATTCATCATCGGATCAACAGATGAAAAGGAGACAGAGTTACCAGGAAATATTTCCTGAATAAGCTTGTAAACATATTTAACACGGTCATTTTTTTGGCACTAATATGGTCCTTTAACACAGACATCAGTGTGAGCTGTAATTTTCTCTATACACGTGGAAACAGATTACTTATTATGTTGTCAAGTGACTTCATGATAGTGCAGAAATATAAAGGAAAAGATATTAGACCAATACTGGGGTCAACAGGAAATTTTGCATTGCCAGTGACAGAATTGTTTTTACTGGTGAGTATAGCCTTACATTTGTCTTGAGTTCCATTTTGCTCACCTGTCTGTACAAGGCCTGACTTAAGAAAGACACTGGTAAAAGTTCATTCGCTAGTGTAGAGCAAGGAATTACAGCCAGGATTTGTCAAAAATCTCCGGCAGTTCTGCCCGTTCCTGCATGTATCTTGCTTAGTACAATCAAGCACTTCTAGTGCCTTTTTGTGGGCCACAGTGATTGGCAAGGTCATATATATATATATATATGGCCTAGAATAATTTTTGAGACATCTTTGAGAAAGTATACGTAAGTGCATATTGAAATATGACGAAGAAATTAAGACAATACGTTAAAAGTATATAAATCTAGTTATAAAGTACCAGGGGCATTTTAGCATTAAAATTAAGAAAATACTTTCTCATGACAGTTTTTGGAAATTTGAATTTACTATCAGAAGGTTTTAATCTGGCTCTGGAAAAATATCTAAAAAATGAGAAAGCTTCCTAGTTGTTTTGCAATTTGTTATTTGCATGTGTTTTTTTCCGTATTGTGTTAAGAAATGAAAAAAAGAAAATTTTCGCAGACTTTAATAGATCATTGTAAAGGCTAGATGTATTCTACAATTTTATAATCATATAATGTTTGAAGTCCAGACTAAGAGCTAAGTGGATCACTTATAGATAAAATTGTATAACAGAATCTTTTTGGTCCACCCTTCCCAAACTAAAAATTTGCACTGCTAGAGCACTTCTACTTGATGGGACCCTTTGCTTATGTTGCAAACAAAACCTGAAGATCCAATGGTAGTTTGAAGGTTAAAAGCCCTGTTCGACCACCAACCAACAGTACCAATGCAATCCCCAAACACAACACACCAGATGCATCTTACTTCTTTGGCGAATCTCAGCCAGTAAAGTTTTTAATAAAAATGTTTGCTCAGTTCTTCCAGGTGCATCAAAGGGGGGGGGGAAATCACCATTTTCACTCCGAATGTATACATGATATATAAAAATGGCAAAACTTATAAGACAGTACATAAGTTTGCCTCTAGTCTGTGACCAATGGGGGATCTATTATTTTCAATAAATGTTTGGAGAGCAATTTTGTAATTCCTTTTCCTTGAAGTATCTTTAACTAAGATTTTTTTACCATTGGTGCCACAAGCTCCAACTGCAAGAGATCTTTACCCTAATAGAGATACATCTGTCCTCAAAAGTATAAGCATTTGGTTAAAATTGCCAGTGTATCTCGAGTTAAGGATTGGGTTAGCTTATTGTGCATCTGTCTTTGCTTTTAAATGGTCTTTAAATTTATTACTTCAAAGACTTTTGGAAATTAATTAAATTTGTGGATTTTATGGAGTGCACATCATGATCATAATAGCAAAAAGATTCTCAAGTTGCTTTGAGAATCACATGCCAGATGCCTCTGCCACTGATGCGTTCCAATGTTGATCATTTTCAAACAATCAGTGTTTCTGACATGCTTCTCAACAGCTTTCACCCCTGAAGGTTTTTAGATTATTAAATGATATTAATACACATACGATATGAAGCAATATTCTCAAATAGTAGGCAGTGATCTTCCTTCTATTATGAAGGTCAGGTGTGAAAAAATTTCATCGCAAAACTTTTATATTATTAAACTTTTATATATTTTATATTAGTTTGTTAATTAATAACAGACTAAATCTGAAACAAAACTATCATATACTTTGTTTACTGATATAAGGCAGAGATGAATGGAAGATAAAAATATTTTAATTCAGGCAGTGGCAACACATTTCTTTTAAACTGCTGCAGCAGCACACTACTTTTATTATTGCTGTCTTTTTTATTAAATTTGAATTTATTACACCTTGCAAAGTGGTAATACAAAGCTTTTAAAACACTGAGTTTGTTGAATTGAAAGTTAATTAAATTTGCACAAAATCTATATATATAAAGAGTGTGAAACCCCCAATGGGATGGTTTTTTTTAAATCTTATATAGACACTGACCTTCCTTTCGTTCTGAAAATCAAGTGTGCCAAATTTCATTGTGGTTAGGAAAAAAACTGCAAGTTTGTATGAACGGTCTTATTTATATACATATTCACACACATATATTAATGAAAATTATAAAAAAATCAACAAATTAAATTAAAATTTCATACTTGGTGATGGAGATGGCAAATCCATTCAGCAAACTGTCTAGCATTAGGAATGGTAGCAGATAAAAATACATAATGCACACTGTCAGGAAGAAGTATAATTGTTTCTTCCCACACAACACCTCGCTCTAAAGAAAAAATATCACAATTTAAAAATGAGTATGGAATTTAACAAAAATTGTAGCTTTAATATGAATACACTGCAAAATTACGCTTAAAAAATGCACATCATACAAGTGAAATAAATATACACAAACATAGAAATAACATTGCTTACTATAAAATAAATAAATATGCACACAATAACCCACCTTTGTCTCTCATATAATGTATTTCATCAAAGACAACCCATCCTACTTCTCTCATCACTTCTGACCCTCTATATAACATACTTCGTAAAATCTAAAATTATTAAAAAAGAAAAAGAAGAAAAGGGAACAGGATATTACCCAGATTTTGACTTACTCATTCATACTATACACTAAATATAAAATATTACTTACTTCTGTGGTCATAATTAGACAGCTAGCTGAAGGATTAATAGTTACATCACCAGTCAATAAACCAACATCTTTGAATTCCTCATAAAATTCACGATACTTCTGATTACTGAGAGCTTTGATTGGTGTGGTATAGATCACTCTTTGCTTATCACGTAAAGACATAGCAATAGCATACCTACATATAAAAATAAATTCCATAGTGTAATGCAAATAATTCAGGGGGAAAAAACTAGGGTTATCCTTATTCAATAATCCAAAAAATTTATAAGAGCAACCATTTTCTTGGTAAAAAATAATTCTTTTCAGTATTATTATTTATGAACATAATGGTACCTAAGTGCTGTAAAGATGGTTAAACGTGTGTTTTTCAAAAAGCTCCCAATGATGCAGCTACTTTTTGTAGGGTGTGGATAATCACAAAAACTTCATGTGTAAACAATTTTAAAGGTTATAAAGGCAGGTACAATGAATAATATGAGTCTGTACAAAAATATAACAGGGTTCATACACATTTCTGTGAATGGAAACTAAGTACTTTTAAGCTCCATTAATGAAAAAACTAAGGACCTATCAGCAAATGGGAATTGAATAAATTCAATTAAAGATATTTCTTATGCCTGTTTTTTCTTTTATGTCTCATTTTGTCATGTACTTGCTCAGTCTACAGATTTAGTAAATAGCAGTAGATTTCATGTTAAACAGCATAGGATAAAATGAGAGGCAAAATTATAATCTGCATGATTCGTAATAGTTTAAGTTTCACTAGATGCAAAGAATAAGTTTTATATTAATTTTTACATTTTTGTGCTCTATCTTGTGACTACAGTAAGGATTAATGATAGGTAATAACTTGCTTTAATATCCAGAGATAACTTTTAAGGGTGAGCAGTTAGTTACAAATAATTATATTAGGTAGTTAGATACCCTTAGTCATTATAGGTTTAAAAGACACTATTACATTTTATTTTTCAAAAAAAATATTTGTTAAAAAAGTAACATTAAAATCACAATTTAATAACATTTCACAGTATAAAATATAAGTAACTTATGACATTGGTTCTTAAAGATATTAGAATAATTACTCATTAAATGCCCAGCCCTTTGTATGATGCATTGAGACATATAAGATGAATCTTTTAAATTGTCAGTTTTCAATTTCTTTATTAATAGAAAAATTTCTTTCTATAAATGGCTGTCCATGTGATAAGATTAGAAGCATTTTTTGATATTTTCCATTTCAAATATTATGTTTTCATTGTTCTACCAAAAATTCTCCAAAAAGTAAGAAATTTAACTTAAACTTTCTGTAAATACATCCATTACTTGTTAATACCAACATGACATTTTTCTGGCCTAATCCGATAAGGAGAAAGTAACAAAAACATTGACTAAAAATGGATCAGGCATGTTGTACCTGGTGCGAGTTTCTGCGAGTTAAAAAAAAACAAAAAAAACATTACTTTCTCTGTGCATACAAGCATAAACTTCCTGCAGATGACTGTTCAAATCTATTATTATGGCCATATCCAGCATTGCCCCCTTTTCACAGATGTTAATTCTTTCACCAGTTATAAATGAAACAGATGGTTACAAATATGATTCTACAGCCTTTGATGTCCTTCCTCCCAAAATGCAAGGGAAAAATAAGCAATAACACATTTATATCTTTGTTCGTAAAAAAAAGGCAACTTATGGTAAATCAATAGTAAAAAATGAAATTAAAAGCACAGATGTTATGAGCATGTTGTGGCATTCTGTTTATCAATAATTGGCCCTGTGCATTAGTAACAATGTCATGGCAATAATACGTAAGTATCGTACCTAAATGCCTGCAATTAGTAATGAAAAAGGTCTCTTACTCTGCAACTACTGTCTTTCCAGCAGAAGTATGTGCTGACACAAGAACCGACTGATTATTTTCCAAACATAAAATTGCCTCTTTCTGAAATGGATCCAATATAAAGGGATATTTTCGAGAAGGTGGATTCTGACTTTGGCGCAATGGAATATATTCAGCATCATGAGGAACTGCAACCTTTAATGATGATAAAAACAATTAAAATATGAAAAAAAATAAAGTATCAGTTTCTAACCTACAGCAATACAAGATATTATTTATATGTTTAAAAGAATGGAGCTGAATTCCAACAAAAATTATGAAAGTAACATGGGAAAAAAAAATTAAATTAAAGGGGAAAAAAGTTGCATAAATATCATTAGAATTTCAAAATTTCATTTATGTAACTTTTGCCATATCAGGATTAAAGAAAGTTATCTAAGAGACATAAAAGCAATAGAAAATTTAGTACTATTCGGTTTTGAGGGCCGTAAAAAAATTGCAGCGAAAATGTACGCGCAAAAGCACCAAATCTAGCAAACGCGCCCATTTAACAGTGCCAAATTAGCATACACATGATTTCAGATTGCGGAGTTTATATAGTTCTAATTTCTTAAGACGCCTTGAAAGATATTTAATTTTAAATCTTTTTGATATCCTAGGATTTAACATTTGGAATTGCCACGACAAAAAGCGCAGAATTTTGGTAAAAGCAAATCACCCACGCGACGCGTTTTTAGATTGCACATACTTATCCAGGTGAACACCGACCTATTTTCCTTAAAAAAAATCCTAGAATTGCCAAAAATGGCACTGCGCACACCCTACTTTATGTACATCGACCTATTTTTTAAAGTAAAGAAATGACAAAATCCAATTGTTTTTTACCTGTAAAAAGCGGCAAACAATAAGTAGCGAGTCTGCACTTACCGAGAATATTTCAAGAAAGATTCATTAGAAAATTACGTTTGAACACCACGAGAATTATGCTTTAGGATAAGTCGGTAGGAAATAGCAATCAGGCATCATTCAGTTATTTAGAATTTTATATAAATTCTAATAATATTGAAAAGTTATTTACTTTACTTATCAGTCATGTTTAGCCTTTTTTATTATAAATTATAATATTAATAATTAAAAAATATTATATGAAATTAAACCCTTTCATCGAACTTAAAACAATCAATCTAAATAGTTATTACTTCATGATACTTCCTTTCTTGCCGCCAATATTTTTGGCAGCTTGGCACCAACAATTTTTGGCGATTTTTCCGGCCCTCCTCGAAACCGGAAAATTTCATATACCACAAGTTCAATGACCGCCTCATCTGATACACTGAAATGGTCAATTTTTATGGCTTTAAGGTAAAAATATATTTAAGGATGCCACTTAGCAAAAACTGGTGATTGGCCAGCAAGGCACAATTTCATGCTGGCCGGTACACAAAACCAAAAAAAAACAAAATAACAAGCCAAAGATTGCACAACGTGTATTGAGCACTCCTGCTTTTGTCCTATCACATCGATCTAGTTTCACTTAAAAAAAAAAAAAAAAAAAAAAAAAAAAAAACAGTAGAATGATGAAGTCATATAATGTTAAAACAAAGTTACTCATCACCAAAATTTAACAAAATTTGTAGTTAATTGTAGCTCACTAAACTGCATTTTAAATCACACAATGAAATAACATAAAAAAGAAAATACATGTTACTGCATATATACACTACAAAAAAGAAATATTGACTTCCCATATTTGGAAATTTCTATGTCTTCAGTCTGTGGCACACAAAATTCCTTAACAAAAACACAAAAAACTTTGTTAAAATTATGTCAAACTGAATATGATATGCCATCAAACAGAAAATCACAAAACATAAGAGTAACAAATATCCTCCGTCGTGTGAAATGTCGGTGCGGTGTGTGGCATTCCTTGTATGAAAACTTTTTTGACCGGAAAAAACCCATTCAAAACCATCTGAACAATCTTTACATTCGGCCATACGCATTTCCTTCGTACAAACAGGACACTTATAATGACTACTACGTAAACCTTCATTTACACACCAGTCAATTAATGCTTTTTCCCCGTCATTCCAAATTGTACAGAACCTTCACATTAATCTCATCACATTAAGCCATTTTATGGTGTACAACACAAAATAAGCAACATACTTCCTAAATAACACCTAACGCAGAAATAAGCCCTTACAAATATTCTCCCATCTGTCAAATTCACCGCAATCATGCAACCAATCATGTCATGATAGGGTTTCTATAACATTCAGCTACTCAGGTTACCATAAATGAAACAACAATTTGGCAATAAACCAAGGGCACCCTAAAATATAGACTAACTGTATTTTATACATTTATTTTACATCATATATTAAATATTTTAAAATTACAAATACAGCAGATTCGGATTAATTTAAATCTGTTAAGCAGTTCATATAATTCAGCTAATTAAGCAGTTCAATAATTATTATTCGTTGTACTACTTTACTGGTTCAAATTGATAACACTCATAAATGTAATTTTAAAAGAATGATTAAAATTGCTTACCTTTAAATCTGCATATTATACTTATATAAAGACCAATATTCTCTTTAATATATTATTGGAAAATTAATACAAACAGTTATAACAAATACCTCATGGAGACAAGCTTCTACTGTTTCAACAACATGTATTTGAATTCTGGATGAAAATTCCTCAGGGCTGAAATGCAAAGTGAATGAAATTACACAATTATACTGCAAATATACTGAAAACTTTGAAGTACAGAATAACGTAATTTTAGCCAATAGAGAATTTTAAAACTGTTTATACTTACTTTATATCATCAAGAACATTAGTGACCTTCAGTTTTTTTGCATCAATTTCATATTCATCTTCATTTGTTCTTTTTCCTTCAGAAATTTCTTTCAAAAAATCTTGAATTCTACAAAATAAATGGATCATAAAATATACAATAAGAGTAAAAATTCTCATAGTGGACGCTTCATTCAAATGTAAATTTTGCTAGTCCCTTAATGTAGGCATACGAATACTTTTTTATATCATAAGCTTACTTTCATTGTTCAAAATCATGGCTAATGTGCAGCGTTTCCCCCCCCCTTTTTCTGATATGAACAGACTGTCACATACGCATGAAGAAAACAACAGCACTCTATATTTCTATTTTTTAATGTATCATACAGCTCCTATTTGACATTTAAAATCTGTTAACATGATTTTTCTTTTGATATATCAATAATTTTTTCTGGCTAATGACAAATATTGATTGCTATGTAAACTCCCTAAAAAAAAAACTCACCGAAGTCACCAACTTGCACATTCATTGCTATGCAATCTCCTTTGTCTCTAAAGTAACCAATTTGCACCAGATAAATAGCTTTTGGCATTCTAAGCAGGAAATTCTTTTATGACTTTTTTATCTGCCTTTTTGTAGACTAATCAGATGATAGTAGAATGCAAAAGTTTTGCCCTTTTATTTCTCTAATCAGCCATCACAATATATAGTTTACTCATTATTATTATTTTTTCAGCTTTTCGAATTTTGTTTTAGGACTGATTTCTGACAGATGCAATGCTTTAAATAGAATGAAAAAAAAAAAATCAGTCTAAGTTTTAACAACTACTTCACAGCACTGTGAGAACTGTTAATTCACAGAAATGGGAGATTAATTGGATGCATTGTAATAATAAACCTGTAATGATTAGCATAATACAAATTTACAATGCAATTTAACCACCAATACATATTTGGAGAAAAACATTTGAGAGAATGACAAAAATTAAGAAGTCTGCCTTATATTCACATACGCATAAAGATATTTTACAAATCTGAAAAGTTCAACTCAATGAAATATTACTACAGTCAAAAGTCGTTAATTCGGACACCCATAATCTGGAATGAT